TGCTGGTTGACAGCTGACTGAACATGAGCCAGCAGTGTGCCCAGGTGGCCAAGAAGGCCCATGACATCATGACCTGTATCAAGAATACTGTGGCCAGAAAGATGTGGAAAGTGATTGTCACTCTGTACTTGGCACTGGTGAGACCACTCTTCAAGAACTGTGTTCAGTTCTGGGCCCCTCACTTCAAGAAAGACATTGATGCGTCTAGAGAAGGGCAGCAAAGCTGGTGAAGGGTATAGAGAGTATGTCCCGTGAGTAGCGGCTGAGAGAGCTGGAGTTGTTTAGCCTGGAGAAGAGGAGGCTCAGGGGAGACCTTACCACTGCAACTAATTGACAGGAGGTTGTAGCAAGGTGGGGGTCAGCCTCTTTTCCCAGGCAACTAGCAACAGAACAAGAGGAAATGGCCTCAAGATGAGCCACAGAGATTCAGATTGGACATCAGGAAGAATTTCTCCACTGAAAGAGTGGTCAGGTATTGGAATGGGCTGCGTGGGGAAATGGTGGAGTCACCATCCCTGGAGGTGTTCAAGAAACAACTGGACATGGCACTTAGTGCTATGGTTTAGTTGACAGGGTGGTGTTTGGTGAAAGGTTGGACTTGATGATCTTAGAGGTCTTTTACGACCTTAAGGATTCTACGACTCTATGATTATTCCAGCAGTGCTACTACCATCACTGATGGGCTTGGCCTTGGTGAGTGGCACATCCATCTTGGGAGGCAGCTGGCATTGGCTCTGTTGGACGTGAGGGAAGCTTCTATCAACTTCTCACAGGAGCCATTTCATAGACCCTTTTCTACCAAAACCTTGCCATGCAAGCCCAATGCAGTTACCACAGTTTGTCAGAATCTAGCACTCTGCAGGGTTTTTTATACTGTGAAGTTGTGCCTTTCTTATCTGATATTAAAATGTTTGTCCTTCAGAGAGCTACATCCCAGGGCTCTCAGCCTCCTGTTTTTACTATTTCCCAAAATATGTTTTGTTATATTTTGTAAGCCTGAAAAGTACTACTAGTGTCTGTTCTCTAGAAGACAGTTCAAATCATGCCCTGTGGTAGTATCTGTGCAGTCCTTCCCAGCTGAATTCACAACCAGTTTATAGAGGTGCATGTGTCTTTATCTCGTAATATATTTTTCATTAAGGCTTTCAACTTTACTTACCTTACAAATGTTTAAGTCATGGTGGCTACATGGATGTGTATTACATATCTTACCTATACATATACATATCTTACATATGCAATGCATCCAGTACATTGGAATTCAATCTGTAATATTTTAGGAATGTGAGCATTTTTAGTTTTTCCTTGTTCCAGGCATTATTATTATGTTCTTCATAAAATAAAATCCTAGCCAAATCAAGCTGAATTAAAGAGCCATGCTGAACACATTAAATTGCATTTCTGTTTAAGGTGAGCTTCCTGCAAAACTGTAAGGAAATTGCAGTGCTGTTCAGTGCAAATGTCATGCTCAGTTCATAAAAAGTTGCTGAGGGGGCAAACTGCAGTTGACGTTCAGTGATATAAAGCACTGTCCAGTCATGGCTGAGAGTATGTCTGTGCTGTCCTTGGAGGTGTGGTGACAGCACAGAAGCTGTGCTGGTGTCTCCCAGGAGGAAATTGTGTTGTCTAGACACAGGTGTCAGCTAGTATTTCAGATGTCCAGTGGTGGTACTCCTTGATTTCAGGAGCGAGGAGTGGGTGGGAAGCCTGTTGCTATTGTAAACCAGGTTTTGCAGTCGTGGGCAGCAGAGAGTGGAGGGTGCCCAGGAGCAGACAGTGGTTTCTGTAGCTCACTGGCACAGAGCTCCCTTGAGCACATCCTGGCTATTTCCTCAACTGGAAGTGGTCTGTGGTCTTTCTTTGCCGGGCACAGATAGCAATGGCAAAATTTTCAGCTCAATCAATGATTCTGATTGTGTTTGCAGATCTGTGTAGCAGCAGGCTACTTTCTCCAGGTCCCTTCTGCATGGTTTTTGAGATCCCTATCTTTCCTTTGAAGATCTTTCATTTCTCAAATAATATTATAGCTGTTGAGGTAAGAGCATATTTCCTTCCGCATGAGAAGCAGTACCTTTTGAATGTGAATTATCATGAAACTGCCATCAGTGAAACTGAGATACTTTGTTTGATAAAATCCTAATTTTATTTTATTGTGTTAATCTTAAGCTTCTTGTTAGCTAAGGTGTTTTAAATGCCCTCACAAGGTAACCACCAGATTAATGAGAAAAGACTGCAAAATAGTCAGCATTTTATATTGTGCTGGCAAGGCTATTCACTAGGAAAGCTGTGGTTGCTTAGTTGCCATGGGAGAGAAATGAGGAGAGAGGATGAGAGTGCAGGCTATGGCCTTGTAAGGGACAGCAGGAAAAGGGAAGGACAGAGCAAGTAAGTGGGAAACTCTGAGAAAGCACAAGTCCCTTAAGGCACAAAAAGTTGGACTCAGAGGGTATACAGGCAGCATTGTGGGGTTCAGACAGAGGAGCAATATATGACCGGAGAGAGATGTGAGAGGAAGGCTGGAATTAGCTGGGATGGGAGTCTGGAAGTAGGCTGTGAGTGATGCAGCTGTCTGTTCCTCTAGTACAGAACAAGCGTAAAATAGCACTTCTGCACACTGAGAATTGGGTAATGAAAAGTGATGGATCCTTTGGTAGCAGACCTAGGACTTGCTTATTTATGTGTCTGTTTCACTTTGGGTTTGAACTGGAGATGGTTAAGCACACAAATCAGGAGGAGGTGAACATTTATTTTCAGTGCGATAATAAATAAATTAGAAGGCAAGCAGAAAACACAAAGGTTCAGAAATGCTCAGAGTGCGAGCCAGACTCATGGCTGTGAAGAGAGGGCTCTGAGTCATTAGGTTCACACACTTGGGGCTTGGCAGAGCTGCTTTCACAGATCTCAGCAGGCTTGAATAGTACAGCTAGAACATCTGGAAACATGGGGTAACTAGGCTGAAAAAGGAGGTGCACACCTTGGTTCATTTTAATTCAGAATTCCCAGAAAATTGGCATTTTATAGTATTATCTGACTACTCTTTGGCCACCTCTAACCTTCTCACTGAACAGTAAATCCATATAAGCGATCTGGTCTGGTTTAAAAAGGAGATAGTTTGGTCTTGTTTGTCACAGAGGTCTTGGAAACAGCCCAGCCACATCTGAAGAGTTCCTAAACCTGATGGTAGTCAGAGGTCTTGGAAACAGCCCAGCCACACCTGAAGAGTTCCTAAACCTGATGGTAGCAGTCCACATTATCATTTTTCAAAACAATTTGCTGTGTTAATTCAGACTCTGAATGTTGGGCCCTTTGTGGTTTTGAATATTTGGAATTTGCTTTAATCTTATTACTTACAAGAGAAATGCTTTCTCTGTTTAGGAAAGGGGCCCTGCTGTCATAGGAGCTGTATGAGGGAGGGTTGTGGGAATGCTCCACACCAGGAATTTACCTTCCTAACAGAGTAAGCAGACAAAAGGGAGATGATGTTTAAAGAGCACAAGTAGATCAGCTGTAAAGCAGCTCTAAATGTTGTGTTAGTCTCAAGGTTTATAGGCAGGGTGCCACGTCCCCTGTGTCTGTCCAGCTTTGTCATCTCCAGCCTGACATATTGGAGGTTGTGTGCATGTACATATTAATCTGTGCAGGCTCAGTGCCTGAGGGAACGGTGTGTGTTTGTGTGTTTTTGTTTTTAATTAAAGGCAGCATCTCTGCTTTTTGGGTGGGTGAAGAAATGAGCTAAAAAGAATCAGCTAAATGAAAAGAAAAAGGAGTAAGGGACATCTAAGTCTGAGGTGAGGGTGCAAGTACAACTAAAAATCTGAGCAGGTAAGAAGAAAGGAGAACAACTGGGGCCAAAGAGATCACTGTACAGCAGAGACCTTAATCAAAACACAGGAAGTGTTCTGAATGTGTAAAGGTCCCTGCTTTGCTGAATCAGCTGCTGCTCTTGGCTGGCAAAACTCCCTGATACTTTTCTATAGTTTTCCCTCAGTACCACACTCTGGTGGGTAGGGATAACTCTTCAGTCCCCAGGCAGCATGTGGAGGTCTCCTGGGTGTGTGTGTGGCTGTGCATATGCATATCATGTGTAGTGGTATGGGAGACAGCATTAGAAAACTTTGCTCCAGGTTTTAAGATAAGCCACATAGGTGCATGATCTCATAGGCTGTATAGTGTCATTTGGGATGAGCAAGCATGATGTTAGGCAGTCTTATTTTGCCCCCTCTTTGGTATCAGGGGCCTGGTTGGCTGCTTCTAGCACTGATCCCTCCACCTGGAACATCTGTCTGTTCCTCTCTGCATTTTCCCCAGTGGTCCTGTAGAGGTGGCATAGAAGTCTCTGCCTTGATCCTGCAATGTGTGATCCATCCTCTGGAAAAGAGAAGAGGAGCATTTCAAGCTCTTTATTTGCTCTCCCCCTCCTCCAGTATAGAAGACCCCATTTGGCTACAGTATTAATCTTATTTTCACAATTAAAGACTGTTACATATTAATACTGCGGTTAACACAGAATTATACCTTTAGTCTCCTGGTCTGGTCTAGCTCTTTCATTTCCAGATGTTGAAGGAAGTAATGAGTTTTCCAAAGTGATGGGAAACAGATAAGCAGGAGTGTTATCTTATACCTTGGCAGCCAGAAGATGGATATGAAAGAGGCAAAGAAGTGTATTAGTGCTACATTTGGGAGAGGTTATTGCAGGAGACATTCTTGCACTAAACTTGAGTTCTGGCTGTTTTGGATGACTTTAAGGGCAGAATGATGTGGACTTTAATTTGGAACAGGTGTTGGCCCCAGTGTGCTTCAGAAGGGATGCACAATGAAATCTCAAACCAAAGTATATGTAATGATGTCTTCATAGCTACACAAGCAAATACTGCTGTTTACAGAGTGCTGCTGGCCAAAAGTGTGCACACTAAGAGTCAACAGTCCACCATCCAAAAAAACCCAGCTCTTGAATGTGTAATATTCATTAGGCAGAAAAAAAAAAGAGAAAAAAAAAGGAGATGGGGAAGAGGCAGAGAGATGCAAGTAAGTTGATCTGCTGGGGAGGAAGGTTAAGGGACCTAGGATATGCTGGGGGTTATACTAAGAAAAGAAGGAAAGAGATGAGTATTTCAATAGCTTGGGACTGAGAGTTTTGTATTTCTTCCCCAAATTACAGAATAAGCCTTTTGATAGAAACAAAGTTTTGACACCAGCTACTTGATTTATTAGTGAATTCTTTCTCCTGTACCAGCATGTGTCTGTGAATTTTAAATTTTTAATTTCAAGAAGTCAGGATATGGGAGTGATGCTATGACATCGTAGAATCATAGAATGCCCTGTGTTGAAAGGAACCTTAAAGATCATCAAGTTCCAACCCCCTGCTATGGGAGAAGGCATGTTTCACTTGACCAGGTTGCACAAAGCCCCATCCAGTCTGGCCTTGAACGCTTCCAGGGATGGGATGTCCATAACTTCTTTGGACAACTTGTGCCAGTGCCTCACCACCCTCACAGTAAATGATTTCTTCCTAATATCTAATGTAAACCTCCTCTGTTTCAGCTTTAATCCATTCCTTCTTGTCCTGTCACTACATGCTCTTGTAAAAGTCCCTCTCCACCTTCCTTGTAGGCTCCCTTCAGGTACTGGAAGACCACAGTTCGGTCACCCCAAAGCCTTCTCCTCTGCAGCCTAAACAATCCCAGTTGTCTTGGCCTTTTGTCACAGGAGATGTGCTCCATGCCTCTAATCACCTTCTTGGCCCTCCTCTGGATTCACTGCAACAGGCTGATGCCCTTCCTGTGCTGGGGACCCCAGAGCTGGATGTAGTACTCAAGGTAGGATACTCAAGAGTGGAGTGGAGGGGCAGAATCCCCTCCCTTGACCTGTGGCCACACTGCTTTTGATGCAGCCCTGGACACGGTTGGCCTTGTGGACTGCAAGCACACATTGCTGGCTCATGTCCAACCTCCCATCCACCATCATCCCCAAGTCCTTGTTGTCAGGGCTTCTCTCTATCCCCCAGCCTGCATTGATATGGGAAGTGTTGCAATCCAGGTGCAGCACCTTGTACTTGTTTTTGCTAAACCTCATGAGATTCCTATGGGCCCACTTCTTGAGCATGTCCAGGTCCCTCTGGATGGCATCCTGTCCTTCAGGTGTGTCAACTGCACCACTCAGCTCAAATTTGCTGAGTGTGCCCTGGATCCTTTCATCTGTGTCATTAATGAAGATATTTAATAACACTGGTCCCTGTATGGACCCCTGAGGGACATCACTTGTCACCGATGTCCATCAGGTTGGTCATCCATCACAAGAGCAGGGTCATTAATTATACTAGTTTTCTGAAAATGTGCTTTTTTCCTTTCATTTAATTACTGTGAAATATCTGAAAAGTAGCAGCCCCTTATACTGTGTTGTCTAGCCACAACTGATAGGAGATAACCAGAGTGTGTTCTTGGATCCAGCAGTTCTGGAGGGATCACTTTAAGACAATTTAATGATTCATTTCCTATGTCATCGCTACTTTTGGTTGAACTTTGAGGGTAGATATTTGCCAGAAGTGCTAACTGTGATGGACTTCTTCTAATTCAGCTGCTTGTTTGCCAGAAATTACAATCAAGAGTATCTGATTTTTTTGCAAAGGTGCTCCGTGCTGCTGTGTTGCTGAGTATAACTGTAGCTGTAAGACTTCTGGCAAGCCTGTAACAAGTGTCATGAGCAATTATCAGTCATTGTCATCCAGAAAATTTGCCATTGTTCTGCTAGTGCTACTCTGAGAGTCATACTTCTTGATTTCACTTTAAGAAAGAATCAGTCTGGATGTTAAGTTATTGGACAGAGACTTGAGATACAATTAACCTTTGTGTGCTGCCACTCTGGAGAAGCTGGAGTCTGCTTGTACCTCAGGTCTGCATTTATTAAACTGAGATAATGCTTTTCTCTTCCCTTCAGTTGTCCATCTTCTTTCTTCAGATCATTTCTTGTCTCAGTGGCACTCACTTCCTATGTGTTTGGATAATCTCCAGGCTTTGCTCCCAAGAATCCATAGTATCAGCAGAGGTCTCAGGGTGCAGCGCTGCAAGGCAAAGCAATAATAATTAATCCAAATAACCTGCTTTGCTGATGTCTGCTGCTGGGTCTGACTTCACTCTCTGTGCCACAATTTGGACTGTGTTTGATGTTTATAAGGCCTGCTGCCTCCTGGGTGGTGAAGCCTCATGCTTTGTTCAAGGTGATAATTTCTCAGGAATCAGATATGAATACAAATCATTTTAGCAAAGATATAACTCTGTTGTATCAGATATGCATTACAAGGAATCACTGTTTTACCATGGTGGTTTAAGAGCAAGTTCAACACTTCATGTTCATGAGAAATGTTCATGTTTACTGCTTTTAAACTCAGACATTTCATCTAGTTGACTCAGTTACCTAACTCAGTTAGGTAACACATCTTCTACATAGCCACAACTTTGTCGTTTACCAAAATGCATTGCTGAGAATACCATTGTATATCTACACTTGATTTTTCTGTCCAAAGTTGGCCATGCAGCTCAGTGATGTGCCCAAATTCTATCTTAATAAAGAGGAAGAAATCCCATGGTGTGGACTGGATGTGTATGTCCTGCATGTTGTGAAGTTATTTGAGACTATACACAGATTTGAAACAGTTAGTGGTCAGCATTTCTGGTTGTGCTGAAATTTCATGCTTTGGCCTTCATGAGCAGGGAGCATGTTTAACAAAACTCTATTTGTGTAAATATTCCCTCCATAAAAAGATTGTAGAATCACAGAATCATTTGTATTGGAAAAGGCCTTTAAGATCATTGAGTCCAGCTGTTAACCCAACACTGCCAAGTCCACCAGCAGATCATGTTCCTAAATGTCACATCTGCCACACATTTTTTAAATACCTCTGGGGATGGTGACTCCACTACTTCCTTGGTCAGCCTGTTCCAATGCTTGACAACCCTTTCCAAGAAGGCAAACTGCTACTGAAAAATTAGAGGTTGTTTTAGAGACCATAGGCCCTGATGAGTAGTATGCTTTCAGTAGTTGGAACAAGTGGCTCCTGTAAAAATTCCTTTCTCATAGCCAGTGGTAATCTTAAAATATGAGATGCGTGTTCTGCACATACCGAGGGATTTTCTTCTTTTTCCCATTCAGCCTCAGCAGGGATAGCATGATGATGATTAACAAATATGCATTTATTTGCACTCTCTAAGGGAATGTGTATATTTATATATATATGTTTTTATACTGATGATATTTTGACAGCAATAGCAGCTTGTGACTAACTGTCTCATTTCAAAGGTTAAAATATTTGAGTTCCTCAGAGCTCCTGTAAGGAGCTCTGGAACTGTGTCAGCTTTAGGAAGGGATTGCTTAGCAATGTCCAGAGAAATTAATGCCTAAAAGAACAGCAAAATTCATGAAAAAGTAATAGAAGTGTTAGGCAAAATATTTAAGCTGTGAGAACGGTACCAGTTTGTGACTCTGGCAATGGACTTTTATGGGACCTGGTGGGTTCTTACTGCCTTTAGTCCTTCATTGTTGTCTTCAGTGTCGATTTATTCTGCTCACACTTTCCTTTTCGTGCTTGTTTTATTCTGCAGTGAAAATGAAGTATTGGGTGTACACTGATGGCTTAGTAAGTGCAGAGATTTCATTAGGAATATAATATCTAAAACATTAGCTAATACCAGAAATTGATTTAATTGTATTTATTTTTCTTAAAGTACAGGAAGGTGATAGAGCAGAACCTTATGATGGGAATTATTGATCTCTTAGTCTTGAATGGTCTATGGTGGTGTATGTGTAAGTGTGTTTAGAGGAGCAAGTTTGTCTTTTAAAACACATTTTGTAGCAGCTAACACATGGGGTTTCCTGCAGTGAGTAAGATAGCATAGGTGGGTGTTTTGGTGTATTGGAAATTTGTACTAGGAGCAGGAAAATTGGATTTTGCAATCTCCTAGTCACTTGTTCCATTACTGTTTGCATACATTTTTACAAGCGTAAGAGGCAGAGATAAAACTGGATGATGTGGTAGTGAGGGGATGAAGAATGTTATGGAAACGGGAACAGTTTGGGCCTTTTAATAGCTTCTGTCCAGATTTTTTTTTCTTACATTGGGCTATTTTAAGATGAGCATTGGTATAAAAATGCAGCATTTTAAGAATGCTAGATGGAGTCTTCTCAAAGACCTTCACAATTTGCTCAATATTTTAGTGTGCAGTTTGTTCAGCAATTCCCCCTGCCTTTTAATTCAGCACCAAATTTGCCTTTAGGCCAGCATGGAAAATATGCATAGGAGTGTCTGTTTTCTGTAAGTCAATAAGGCAGAGCAAGAAGGGCACTTACTCCTGCCAGTTTCAAGTGAGTGTGTTTGAGGTGGAAGCTTTCTTCTTTAATACATCGTGGTAACACATGGCTACGAGAACAGAGGGATGGGGAAACCTTAATCTATTTATCATTTGAACATCTTATAAAATGCTTTTCTGAATGTATGTGTGTATATATAATATGTCATCTATAAAATATGCATATATGTAATTCTATAGCTAGCAGCCTTGCATTATTAGTGGTTGCTGGCACAGGTATAAGCCATGCTGCACTCCTGCGTACCATCTGTCGTATAACCTCGTCTTCCATCACTTGTTGTTTCTGTGCTCTCCTTCCCCATTCACTTCTCTTCCCATCCAGCTTCATGTCCTCTTTTCTCCACAACCTGAGCATACCTGACAATTTCTGCTTTTGTTTGTGTAGTCCCAGCTCCTCTGAGGAACATCCCATTAGAGACTGAGAAAGCTGTTGTTCTTGAGACTCTCATCCTTCCTCCATTCACTCTCCACCTTTGGCTGAGGCAAGTAGCCACATGTAACACCATGCACAAATTAACAGCACACATGATTCTGTTGTAATTGTGTGTAAAAGAAACAGCTGTATCTTTGTATTCTCCAAAACAGCCCCTTTCCCAAGATGCTAAAAAGTATTTTTTTATAGTGAAAGAAAAATGGAATTTGTAGCTCAGCCTTTTATGAAGACAAGAGAACGAAACCACTTGGAAATACCTTTGAAAAGTCATGTCAGTATAACGTGGCAGTTATTTGGATCAGATCTTTTGTTTGGCCAAGCTGTGATCAGAACATGACCCAAAATATGTTGTTTTTTCCGTGGGGAATGTGTTGGAGTAGCCTATGGCTCGTAACAGACCCATGAATTTTTTACTGCTGGGGAATGGACAGTTAAGATTCAATGGCTCCAGTTTCTTTCAATCACTTTATTTTCCTTTTTTTTTTAAGAGTGGTTGGATATAGCTGAGTATTCCCATTTTCCAGGATGGGATTTTCTGCTCTTAGAACTTTGAAGTTGGACTGTTGGGGTTTTTTTCCTGAATTTTTTCACAAAATGAATGCAGTAGATGTATTTTTAAATAATTTAGAGGAATTAGTCCTATCAGTGTCTGTTTGGTAGAAGAAAATTGAAAAGGAAAGCAGAAGAGTGCCCTGATACACAGCTCTAGAAATATTTTTGTGTATTTATGTAGGCCTTACATGCAATGATGAGACATGACCTGGGAAGAAAACATGCCCTTGAAGTCTCCCAGGTGCACAGTCCCAGACAGGGCATGAGAAGTGACTGCATTCACTTCCCAGACATAGCTCATAAGGAATACAGCTAGGATAAAGAGAGTTATGTCTATGAAAATCACTCAATGATGTGTTACTGTGACCCACTGTGCCGTTGCTCTAGCAGCCAGGATACCAGTTGGAGTTCTGGGGAGGACTAAACTCCTAGAGAAGTACATGCATAGACTTGGGGTAGAATGGTGGAAAGCTGTGTGGTGGAAAAGAACCTCGGGGTGCTGATCAACAGACAGCTGAGCATGAGCCAGCATTATGCCCAGGTGGTGAAAAAGGCCAATGGCATCCTGGCTTGTGTCAGAAATAGTGTGGCTAGCAGGAATAGAGCAGTGATTGTTCCCCTGTGCTCAGCTCTGGTGAGGCCACTCCTCAGGTACTGCGCTCAGTTTTGTGCCCTTCACTACAAAAAAGGCATTGAGGTACTGGAGCATGTCTGGAGAAGGGCAGTGAATCTCGTGAAGGGTCTGGAGCACAAGTCGTATGAGGAGCAGCTGAGGGAGCTTGGGGTGTTTAGTCTGGAGAAGAGACGACTCAGGGGAGACCTTACCACTCTTAACAACTACTTGACAGGAGGTTGTAGCCAGGTGAGGATTAGTCTTTTCTCCTAGGTAACAAGAAAGACAAGAAGAAGAAATGTCCTCCAGTTGTGCCAGGAAAGGTTTAGATTGGATATTAGGAAGAATTACTTCACTGAAAAGGGTGGTCAGACCTTGGAATGGGCTGCCTAGAGAAGTGTCGTAGTCACCATTCCCAGAGGTATTTAAAAGACCTGTGTTAGATGTAGCACTTTGGGACATGGTTTCGTGGTGGACTTGGCAGTGCTGGGTGTGCTGCTTTTGGCTGCAATAGGTTAACAATTGGCCTTGAGTGTCTGAAAGGCCTTCCTTTTGCAACCTAAAATGTTTCTGTGATTCTAAGAGAAGTGTTTCAAATCTTTTCACTAAAACTTTCCAAAAAAATCTACTCAAACATTGTGGGGAGTCAATTGTATTAGTTTGCACTTCTAGGAATTCGCAAATTACTAAAAATACATACAATTAAATGTCCATTGTTTTCAAATCAAGATGTTTCAGAGTATTATATTGAGTGAAAATATCACTGTACTAGAGGTAAGTTTTTTATGATTTAGGAATGGATTGTAGACAGAGCTGAAGGCTTAAGCTTTTTCTTCCCATGTGCTTGTCAACATGTATTGAGATCCTCAAGTCTTCCATTTTAATGAAAATTGGTGGAGACTGGAATCACTCAAAACATTATGGAATGCTGTGTTGTGCAAGGAAAGACAGCACATTAATAAGAGGTGATATTTGTTAAGGCTTTTTTTAAAGGACTTTCTGTTGAATGTCATTTATTAACTGTATTTCCTTTCTCTGAAAAATCTAATCCTGAATAAACGGTGGAAGTTTACCTTGTAATATATCGTGACAAATATGAACAGTGTGGTGTGTTTAGTGTGGTGCTCTCTGTAGAGAGCCATGGTGGTATCCTTGCCCCACTGAAATCCATAGGTACTTTCCCCACTGGCCTTGGTGCAGATGTGTTTCTGAAAGAGAGCTAAAATGCTGACTGTATCAAATGCCTTAGCTGATCCTGGTATGGTAATATGGCATCTAACCATGTGCTTTAGTTTGGATGCAGGCACCATCATACTGAATTGCAGTAGACTGCTATACTTGACCAACACATAGGTATGGCTGCCCTTTTCTTGCCTTCATTTTATCAAGAACTCGGCGCCAGTGCTCATCCAGCAGTCTAGATACTTGTGAAATAAGATTTGCCTGAAAGAAAACTGAACACTTCTGAAAGTTTGCCCTACTGTGTTACATAGTCCATGTAGATTAATGGCAATAAGACACACTTTCTGGTCAGTACTGCTGTGTGTGTGCTGATTTTTTGGGATGTAGCCCCAAAGAGGAAAAGAAGAAAATTAAAAATACAAGTTGTGTATTTTTAAATTGTGCTTCATCAGGAAATTCTCATTTATTTTCCCATTTGGGAAAAAAAAACACGACAAAGGACAAAATCCCCAAATCATTCTGTGTATTTCATAGAATCATAAAATCATAGAATTTTAGTGGTTGGAATAGACCTTATAGATCATCTAGTGTGTCCCCCCCCGCCATGGACAGAGACACCTCCCCACTAGACCAGGTGGCTCAAGGCTTCATCCAGCCTGGCTTTGAACACTGCCAGGGTTGGGGTATCCGTAACCTCCCTGGGCAACCTGTACCACTGTATTTAAAGATGTGCATTGGGTTGGAGAGTAGATCATACCCAGTCAAGTTCCTAAGCATATGTCTTCACTAATGAGCTGTGATGGCAATTTGGTAATTTCAAATACAGTGAGTTAGTAAGTAGTTCAGTGTCTTTTATATCAGCTGCATCAGCTGTGTGAGAGAATATATTCAAATACTCTGGATCCTGATGGCTAAGACTGACTCATGAGGAATGCAAATTTGAATCCTACTGTTTCTGAAGCAAAATGTATCACATCACAGGTGAAGGTTGTGCCCACTCCTTACTGGCAATTTATGCAGTCACTCTGTGGTATGTTTGAATGTGTTTTATATACTGTGCATATATGTATATGTACTTGTCTGTGCATCCACCAGTGTATTGTTATAAGTCATTTCAGAAATGTGTGTGAAATCAGGTCATTGGATGAGGTTCTGTGATGTACAGAAGAAAATTTGCATATAAAAGCTTTACATCAGATTTACCTGTGCAGTTCTGGGCTGTTTCAGACATTGTGATCAACTCTACAAATGTGACATTGATAGTCAGAACTCCAGAGATTTGTCCTCAGCTGCCACCACACTGAGTCTTCTGCAGTGCTGTGCCTTGAGGATTTCACCTCTTGCCAAGGGAACTGTGTGTTGGAAATGAAATACCAGTAGTTAAAAGTGTGCAAAATTAAATCCTCTGCCTACAGTTCCCTGTGTTCACTGCTTGGAGTCGCCATGGCTTTTGCATTCCTGAAGACCCAGAATATGTCACACAGTGGTGGAGACTATCTTAATTTCCTAGTAGGCAAATAAGCCTAGCAAATGTGCTTTGTCTTTCTTATTTATTTACTTCCTTAATATTGAACTATATCTTCTTGTAGTATGTTGAAGAAGGGAAAGGACAAACTTCTTTGCAGGAAATGAGAAGAGCTGGAGTAATCCAAAGATGTGTGTTTGTGAATGAGGGAATCATGATGAGTGGGTGTATGTGCCCTTTCCAAAAGAGTTGTCTCAAATGCAGCTGTCTGAAGAGACTCTGCTCTTGAGTACTTTTCCTGTTACGCACCATAAGACCTATGCAATCATACCTGGAGGTGTGGTGATGTGAATGCCCTGCTTGTAAAATTTGGGTGCCATGTGCCCCCTTGTGCATCTTCCAGCTGTGCATGATCCTGTGCTTGCAGGTCTGGTATCCTCAGACTTTCAGGTGTCTGCCATGAATACAGCCTTGTGCCTCTAAAGGCCTCAGATACCTTCAGTGTGAGATAGACACACATCTGTGCAAGTGGTAACCTCTGAGCAAAGTTGGGACTCATCTTCAGAGGATTTTGGCCCCTGAATGCTTTGAGATCCTTGGATGAAAGATGCTAAGGAAGTGTGAAGTATTGCAATAAGGGATCAGATAATAGTTTCTTCACATGCAATTTTGTTAATTCCTTTATTTTCTGTAAGGTAAATTGCTCTATGTGCCTTCAAGCAATCTTAATTTGATGCGCTAATGACTTTGAGTGATTGAAGAGCTAATAAACTCCAGCCACCAATTTTCATCCTCTAGCTTAAGAATCATGAGCCTGTAGGTACCCTTTCTCCCCATCCTTCCTTGCACTACAATTCTCTGGGAATATGGACTCTCGGAGTATAATCACAGTGCTTGTGCTTGCCACAACTCAGGTTGGAAAAGGTGTAAGGTTGTTTTGTTTTTTTAAAGTCATGCAGGAAGGAATGAATCAGACCAGTTTTTACAATCATCTTGTAAGAACTAAAACAAGCACCAGATGTTTTTCTTTGGGTTAGGGCTTGAGGGTCGTTGGCCAATAATAGCGAAACTTGGAAAGGATCTGGAAGAGTCAAACGATTTGACCTTTACAAGAGGTGATTTCAAGAACCTAGAAATTGCATCTGGGTAAGTTATTTTGTTCCCAAATATAAGCTTGTTTTATCCAGTAACATTTATGTGTACACATCTTCCCATTCTGCCACATACATGCACTCACCCATGCTTGCATCTGTCATTTGAGTATGCCAAAGTTGTGTTTAAAAAACTCAGAGTTCTCAGTCATTCAGAGCCACAGTTTTATTACAATCACAGAATGACTGAATTGCTTGGGTTGGTCAGGCAGGACCTGACTTTCATGAAGCTGTGCTAACTGTCTTGAATTACCTCCCTATCCTTCCACATGCCTTACTATATCTTCTAGGAGGATATGTTCCATCATCTTCCCAGTCACAGATGTGACACTGATAGTTGATAGTCCCCAACGTCCTCCTTTCTACACTTTTTACAGGTGGGTACAATGTTTCCCTTTTACCAGTCACCTAGGACTTCACCTGACTGCCATGGCTTTCCAAATATCCTAGAGAGTGTCTTGGCAACTACGTCAACCAGTTCCCTCTGGATTTTGGGATGCATCTCATCGAATCCCATAGATTTATGTACCTTCAGGCTCCTCAGGTGGTCAAGAACCTGATCTTTACTTAAAGTGAGAAGCACTTTGCTGCCCCAGTCATCAGCTCGCTGACCATCTACTCAGAGGTGTGAGAGGCTGCCATTGAATACTGAGGCAAAGAAAAGATTGTTGAGTACCTCAGCCTTCTCCTCATCCATTGTTACCAGTTTTCCAGCATTGTATATCACGGAGTGCACCTTCTTTGACCTTCCTTTTCTGATTAACATATGTGTAGAAGCCCTTCCTGTTCATTGTGTCCCTTATCAAGTTCAGTTCCAGCTTTGCCTTGGCCTCCCTCTCGCCATCCCTACACAACTAAACTTGATGTCTGTGCTCTTCCCAGGTTACATGTCCTTGTTTCCACAGCCCGTGAATTTGCTTATTTCCCTTTGGTTTAACCAGCAGTTTCAAAACATCCTGTGGTTTTGTCTTTCCGTTAAGATGAGAATCTTTTTTTTTTATGTCTTCTTGGCATAGAAGAAATGCATCCCAGCAATTCCATCACTGCTTACTGAGAGTTTAGGAGCTGCCTTTATATATATCCTGGTATACTTACTGACAAAAGAATAAAAATACTGGAAATACCATCATGGGAGGGAAAAATAGCTTTTTCTGAACAAAAGGAAATCAAACTGTGGCAAACTTGCATAAAATTGGCCGTGTGTATCCAAGTCAAAATTGCAAAATCTCCCATGTTTTATAGTATGTTATATCATTCATCAATGATACAACTTTTTAAAAGAAAAAAATCAGTGGATGGCATATTTTAATTTAACCAAATTAATTGATTAATGAAATAGTAGGAATACTATCCAAAAGTTTCAATTCTGGTATCCAGTTTTCAATTTAACCTTGCTGAGATGAAGTGTGTATATGTAAAAATGTAACACTCCTACATGGTTTATTTTTTTTTACTGTGAGGGTGATAAGACACTGGAACAGTTTGCCTAGGGAGATTGTGGGTGCCCCAACCCTGAGGATGTTCAAAGCCAAGTTGGAGTTATTATTTAGCAACCTGGTCTAGTGGACATGGCAGTGTGGGTTGGGACTAGGTGATCTTTAAGGTCCATTCCAGCCCTTAATATGCTATGATTCTATGTTTATTCTACATGTGACCTATCCTGTGTCTACATTAGACCTGTCCTGTACAGTAATTGCTACGCATAAGCCAGTGTAAATTTGATTTTTGACTTGTTAAACACATTCTGAGAGTCATGGTTATATTTTGCATTTGTTAAAGAGAGATAAGAGCATGAGCTGAATGTACACTTTTAACAAGAGACGTCATTGTTAGCCATTCACAAAGATCTGCTGGTAAGTACATGGTTGGCAGCAGACAAGGCATTTTACACCATGGAATTTGGAGGCTTTCACAGCAACTGAGTTGTACATGTTCATTTGCTGACATATTCTCTGCTTGCTCCTCTGAGCTCTGTCAGTGGCTCAAGTCATTGAGAACCATGGAAATACCAAAGCACATGTCCTGGGTTCTGGGTTCTGACCTCACCAGTGCAGTCTACTGGAAGAGGATATATTCTGATCACGTAAGAATCATGGTGGCAATTTGACAATCTCTGAATATTATTTTTTGACAAATATTATAAGTGTTATAGAAATATTTTCATGCAATATTAACATTATTGTAACACCAGTATAGAAGCATAAATTACCAGATGAGTCAGATTTATGGCCCTTTTCCTGCTGTATGTGGGCAGACCCCTGCATATGTGCTCATTGCAGGTTTGGGACCTAAATGCATTAGATGTGTACTGGAAGAAAATGAGTCTGCAAAGTATTTTAAGAGAAGGAATAAATTGATCTTGGTCGTGAAGATAGAAAATCTTCTAAAAATGGAAATTTTTTTGTGCTTCCCTTTAGAAAAGACAAGTATGTTAACTTGGAAATGTCTCTGGAAATTCTTGTAAGATTAATGACAAAACTGAAAAGAAAATGTAAAACAGCTCAAATCACTGTCTTGAAAGAAAAGCAGAGGTGTATTGTCTTCTGGAGATTCCAGGCAGGATTTGTGTAATGGGACTGTAGTGGTGGTCTAGTACTTTTGTGAAGTCTGTTTGTAGGCAATCTACTAATATCTCACACAGTGTGCTGATATGATTAACTCTTTGCAACAGCAGTTTTCCCAAAGTCATGAACTGTAACTTCTTTGTCTGCCTCTTCTCAGGAGAACTCTGAAAATACTCACTAATAGGGATCTCTGCTTTCATCTGACACCTTTCCTCAAATGGAAGCTTGCAGGTTATTGAGGAAGACATCCCCTTGCTTGGGATCTTGAGATTTGTCTTTGGTTTTAAGTACTTCAAAGATTTCTGTGTGCAGCTTTATTTGGTCTTTCTCCTCTGTGAAAGTAGTGTCTTCCAGGTCTGTCATTTGGTTTGGCTTTGTACACTGAGAAACAGCAGTAAATATTTCAGAAAAGTGAGTAGTTCTGCTTTTGCTCAGAAAAGTGGAAATTACAAGAGAAAAGCATAAAAGTTGTAAGAGGCAAATGAGGAGAAGGATTTAATTTCTCATAGCTGAGGCTGCTCAAGTGGACACTGCCTCTACTTCTGGAGTGAGCATGTTCTGCATAGCAGGATTAGAAATTTCTCTTCCTCACTGTAAATAAAAAAATCCATCAATTCCCAACTTCTCTGAAATGTTTCATGCTCCTTCTTTCCTCAGACAACACCTCGTGCTATTTTTTCCTCCCTTTTTTTTAGAGTGCCTCCTCTTTTTCTTCTTCCTTTGCTGCCGCCTCCAGGGAAGATTAAAAATCCAGCACCACTGAAAATTCAGCCTTACCAATACTGAGAGTCATTGTGAGGCTACAGTTTTCAAGTTAATATTCAGAGCAGTTACAGGGAACCCTGCTTCTCCTTTTGTTCCTATTAATCCATTTAGAAAAATTTGATTAGCTCTGTTGTTTGTGAAAATACAGATCAACCCCTTTCCTCTTTTCAGATTGCCTGAATCTAGGTTGTCCCCTGAGATGCCCATCCCCCCTGACATGTTGATTTCTTTGCTTTGAACCAATTTTCATGTAGTCAATTGAATTACAATTTCACCTAACTCTTTCCTTTCCTGAAAGTGTGATATTCATTGTGAGCTTTCATTTTGTTCTGTAATAACATTCAGGTTGAGTATCAGAAAAAAAATGTAGTACTTGGAAAAATATTTTGATAGTCTTACAAGTCAAGGTATGTTGTCAGATCTCTCTAGCGACCACATACAGTATAAGTGCAACGTATATAATTAACTTGGCACAGGTGGAGGAAGGATAGGGAAATTGTCTCTGTTACCTCCTTTCTTTGGTTTTGAAATCTCATGCTCTTGTATGATATGCCTGGGAAATTACAGACTGTGAGTGGGATTCATATGGCAAAATGTAGACATCTACTTCTGAGTTAGTCACCCAAGGCTCCCTGTGTGGGGAATGGAGAGAAGCAGGACAGATGAATCACACCCTTGAAGAACCTACTTTTTTTTCACCTTTATGTTATGACAAAATGACTCATAGCCTGGAAGTGCCTGTTTGGCCAGTAAATGAGGTTGGGGTAAGAACTGCAATGTGGTGGCTGCATTCTGCACCCCAAAAACTAGATGAGATGTACATGATTCTCTGTGGCTCTGTTGCTTGCCTGTGTACTCGCCTGTATGTGTTTATTTGTCAGACTGTGCCAGTGTTCAGTCCTAGGAAAAAAACCTCTGTGGTTTTCCGCATAGAAATGTCTTAAATCAGTCTGAGGAGTGTGCAGCAAGTGAACATGTGAAGACCTTGCATTGCTACTTGCAGAAAGGAAATTTGTCTTCCTGGGTTTGCTCTTTAATACATCATCAGCAAGAGCATGTAGGATGTGAACCAAGGTTGGCTTAGGAGCAAGTTGTGTTCACAGTGGTGGCACTAAACATCTGTGTGGGGTCCCCTAAGCTGAAAACTCTGTTGAGATATGTACCATCTTCCCACAAAGAGGTGGACAATATTAAAGTAGAAGTGCCCAATGAAACAAGACAAATAATGATAGCCCCATAACATAACATTAACAGTCTTTTAATCTTCTGTTTTGTATGCACAGGTACACATGTTTAATTGAGACAAATGAAACTGGGGAATCTCCATTTGAACTTAAAAAAGGAGGAATGAACCTGTTTGCCTTAGATCTCTGTTTAGACTGTGTCCAGAAAGATGGGTTTTGGTAGAATTGGTGCTTTTGCATGCCCTAACTCTAAGCACCTGGCCTGAGGAGCATGGTGAAGCAAATAGATTCCAGCACACCAGTTTCCTATGCAGTCAGTGTACATAGATACCCTGAAAGGAGTAACACAACACAAGGGTCACAGCTCCTTCTCTGGAGATCAGAACTGCATACCAGCACTTACTCAAGATCCATACCCTGGAGATGTATTCTGGATAGCTGTGTAAATCACAGCTGATTTCCAGGCATGAATGAAGCTACAGTGTATCAGTAACAATGCATCTAGATTCTTCCCTGTGAAATTTGCAGATTGCAGATTCTAATTCCCAGAAAGTCTTTCCCAGCCAGGTCACACCAGGTTTAGAAGGCACATTGCTTTGTGAGCTTTTTAAACACTGGGCAGTTGTGAAGCCAGACATGCAAGATTTCAGTCAATGATAAGTAAAGATGTGGCCTGGCTGTAGCCTGACAGTGACACAGAATGACGGACAAGCATTGGATTCAACACTCTCCTACTTCCATACACAACCAGCATTGCCATCCTCACCCTGGGGAAAAAAAAAAAAAAAAAAAAAAAAAAAAGGGAAAAACCCTCAGAGAAGAACAGTTGCTGTATTATGGAACCATTATGAGTTTGAGGTACTCAACGTACCTTTCTGAATCAAGGATGAAGTTCAGTTGTGATACCTCCACTGGTTTTTGATCTGGCTAGGCCAGTTCAACACCATGCTGTAGGTTAAATTATTGAAACAGTGGAAGTAGCTGAGAAGTGGCTATGGCACTGTATTGCTCCCAGCTGCTAGTGTTTTGTCATCATTGATCAGTGATTTCTGCTGAAGTGATTTGGTCAGAAGCACCACCAATGAGAAGCAGGCTTTTTTCGGCTTTTTGTTTTACTTTTCAGCCAAAGGCAGGCAGATCCAGAACAGCAGCTTTATGTGGGAGCTGCCCTGGAGAGCTGTGTGCCAGCTCACAGAACCAAGTCGATGTGTCAGCAACTGCCTACAAAAGCAGGGCTGGAGTTCCTCCAGTCCCTGGAAAGCTGGTATGCCTCTTCCAGGTGAGAACCACTGTGCAGAACATCAGGTGGTCAGTGTGGATGCTGCTTGATTCTGTCTGTACTAGTTTGAGGAAAGACTTTTTCATATGACAATGTCTGCCTAGATTAGCTCCCAGTGTATAGCAATTGAATTGCTTGCTGGTCTTTGAAATCCTTGTCTGAAGGAAAACCATATATATGTGTATACACATACACACATACACAAACAAGTTTTCTTTTTGTTTTGAAAGGTGCTTGTCAAATAATGATTCCTGGATTAAAATTCCTTGTTTTATATATTGGTGGGTCATAATTTGGATTATGACCATTTCAGCATTTATGTGATAAAATGGCTTTTAGTAGCAGCTTCCCTTATAGTTCAGGTATTATGACTGTAGAAAATAATTCAGATAACTGATAAAAATATCTCCTCATGATTTTATGTGTGTTTGCACTTCAAAGGACCAGCATTGAAAAGATGATCACACATCTGAATCAGAAGGATAATATTTATACCTAAATTGAGTAACTATGTAATTCTATTGGTGTTTCCCATACTCTTGTCTGTCCTCCTCCACTTGCTTCTGTGCAGTGTTTGTTACCTGACCTGAAAAGCTCAATCTAAATATTTGGTGAATTCAGTGATGTTCCCAGTGTACTTCTGGCTGCTTGTGTACTTATGGAAGAGTAAAACATAAGTGGCTGGCCATTCTGGTAGCTCTGTGACTTTTATTTTTGATATACATAGGATGCTTTTAGAAACTGGTTTAAAATTGAATTTTCCAGTATTCAGCTGCAGAGGAGGACTCAGTAGTTTGAGATGTGTTAGGAGTGATGCTTTTTGTACGCATGCATGTAACTATTTAGATCTCTGCAAAAGGGCTCCTCTGTCGCAATGTTGGCTAGAAGAGATCAGTCCTCAGATCTGGCCTGGTAATTAGATATTTTTAATTTCAGGCTGAATTTATTTTCTAGCTAGTGTATATGTATTGCTTATTGTTCAGCTCTGCGCATTTTACACTCATGTAGTTTAAGAAAACAGTGTTACATTATGGCAAGATTTGTTTAGGTGACTAAATGAGCTGTTTGGGTCTCCTTTGCTTAAGCAGGCTTCATTCCCAGGTCATCCTGGTGGCCTTTTTGCCCAGCAGAACATTGCAAGAGGTTTTCCTCTCTCCCCTCTTCCTACAAATGCAGAATGAGGTTGGCCAGAGCCATAATTTAGTCTTAAAATTCCAGAATTGTCAGTGGGTGGCTACCAAGATACACAATTTACAGACAGATTCATCATCCAGGCTTGGCTGAAATAATTGCAGCAGTTGGGGAGGTTCTTGGGGAGATAGGGAAATTCATTCCTCTCATATGCTTTTTTCTGGTCATTCCAGTGGTGCCTTTCATTTCATTTCATTTCACTCTAGTTTTATAATCTGCCAACTGTACATTTATTGGGCATATTTTTTTTATTGCATGTTTAAATTCCATAAATCCTTGAATTCTTAAGGACTGACCAAAAGTATATGCTGCTAATTACTAATTATTACTTGTTATTGGTTTGTGGACATAATAAAGTGAGGGGAACCTTCCTGTATCACTTCTACAGCAAAACCTCACAGGCTACTGTATCCTGCTCTCTCATTAATTAATTTTCTGTCTTTGTTTAATACACCTTGCATTAATGAGGGTTTAGAAGGCCTTTAGGTGGCACTTTAATACATGTATAATTACAGTACATACAGCATATGAATTATTTAAGGTAACAATAAATGCAACATTGCCAAAATGCTTCAACGAGAGGTCCAACAGAGTTTTGTAGGCCGTCGTTGGCTGTGTGTTTCTATAACAGTATTACAAAACCTGAACACTTAAAGCTGGGTACATCATTAGGCTTTCTCTGGGTTCTCCACAGCATTTCTTAGTACAGATGAGGTTTTGAGAGAGCCTTTACAGTGGCAGAGTTCTAGCATCTCTATCAGTAATGCATTCTATGTACCATATTCTGCGATTGCGTGTTTCTCACAGCCATGCTGTGATGAACGAGCAGACTTGGGCTGGTTGGTCTCTCTCTCTCTTTCCTCACTTGTTTCCAGGTAATGAACTCGTAGCTTGTAATAGATGCTATTAATCTGTAGCTGCCTGACATTACGTTTTGTACTACTGAATGTAATCTTATTGTGCTACTCAAGGTCATTTGACTTTGTGTACAGTTCAATCTTTCCCTTAATTGTCCTTGCCTCCCGAATTTGTATTGCAAGTAACTTTCTTCATAGTCACAATTACACTTATTCTGCAAATACTATTGAGATAAATGATAAATGCAAGCAATCCTAATCCCAGTTCTGTAAAACTTGATTAGTCATCCTCCTTTTGGCTGGTAGTACCCCTCTCAGATAAATGTTTTCCTGTCATTTCTTGGACTTGGTTGCTGAAGAAACCTTCTCTGGTTTAGCCAATGATTTCCCCTTTGACTCTGTATCAAGTGCTTTACTGAAATTTAGATTAACTATGTCTCCCTTCATTTAGAAAAAACAGTCATTCATCAAAGGAGACTTTTGCCACCGGTCTGGAGTGACCTGTATTTTCTTAAATTCATCTCTCTTTTAAATTCGTTACTTTACCTCCATCTTTGATAGTAATTTCCTTCAAAAGCATATGGCTGAGGCATGCTTAAAGTCATATGTACTGTGTAGATCACAATAAAACATTGCATGCCCAGGCTACTGTGCTTTAATCACCCTTCTACAAACAGTTGTGAGTTCTGTTTTTCCTCATTATACGACTGTCCCCTGTTGGACCTGCAGTTATACCTGGAATTTCATGTGCCAGCTCTTTTGACACACGGACCAATATTGACTCATTCTTTCCTTCTGCTCTCCCATCTGTCAGTGTCTATGTGTTGTGGTGTGCCCTGTGCTTGGATAATCAGCTGTCAGGGGCTGTGAGTTTGTGACTGCACAACACCCAGAGCATCCACAGCTCAGGCTAAAAGGGTATGATCAATAAAATTTGTCAGATTTTGACTTTTTGGGGGCTTTGGCTTTTGTTTGGAGAAGCTTTTTCTTCCTTGAGTAGCTCCTTCTAAAGCTGGCAGAGATTTGTCCCATGTGTTTGATGTCATCTCTCTTAGGGGAACGATGTATGGAGTTATATTCTTCTTCCTTTCAAGCACTCATTGGCTCTGAACTCCACAGAGGAGGGAGATAAAAACCTGTAATATCCAGAAGTTTCATGGTCTTTATCCAAGAAAGATTGTTCTGGATAAAAGAAAAACCACTTGTTTCAGGGTCAGTAACATGTTCCCCGAAACGCATATATTCTCTGCACAGTGAATGAGACTCATACAAAATCTGAATGCTTTTGAAAGTGCAGAGTCAGCAAGGAGGTTTGTCCTATAGTCACAGAGAGTCGCTACCCAGGAAGTTCCCATAGTCATTTTGCAAACCTGTACTTGAGAATATGCCAGTCTCTGCCAACCAAGACACTTTTAGATACTGTTTGATGCTGAATTCTGTACAGCCAATAGCACCACTCTCAGTATAGGAAATCTGGCAAGTGGGAGTTAGGTGTAAGGACAAAATGTGTGTTTACTTAAAATTAGAAGATACATAGTGTTAAAAAGTTTTGTAATGTCTTAACCTAACTGTGCATCTCTTTATCAGCTATGTGTTTGAAACTCCTGTACCATACTAGGATGCCATTAATCAGTGAGTTTAAAAACACTGGTTTAAAATAAGTTAAAGAGGGGCATAAGTTAGGATGAATCATCCTTTGCTCATCTTTTCAAGTGTAACTGTCATTTACCTACTGTAAATGCAATTCAGCAGCATGCTGACATTGTATGTTACTTGATTTTGCTGTTTACCATTAAGTATTTTAAAAATATGTTACTGTGCTTGTTCACAGTTGAAACTTGCCTCTGTTTTTAGCATGGTGGGTTTAATTTTCATGTGTTTCACTTCAGCACATACTTGCAGTATTTGTTCAAGGTAATTGGTTTCAATGTTTCCACACATTCCTTTAGTGCTTTCCAGACCAGAATATTATAGCTGTTCATCTATACTGAAAAAAATTGTGCCTATTAGGCATGGTGGTCTTGGTGTTAAAAACTGCTATTGAAATATGGTAGTTGTAAGATGAAACACCTGAGAAGATTTTTAGGGTTGTCACTGTTCGTTTTTAAAGAATCTAATTGGGTACCTTGATTTCTTAGCTGCATTAAAAGAAAGGTTTAAAAATAAGCCTATCCATTTTGCTTCACTGCTGAGAAACAGGATTAAATGGATATTCTTTTTGACCTGTGGTTCAAACAAAAATAAAATCTAAATGTTTACTAACACTGAAGTATCAAATTTGCTGTCATTTTACCTTCTAATTAGTATACACTTACTGAATCTGGAGGATAGCTGGGGAGTTCTTAAGTGATTGGGAGGCTCCTATTTTATTTACGTGTGCATTAAAACCATTATATTTTTTTCATAATCAAGTAAAGAGGGAAAAATCAGTCTGACTTTCTCTTTTGCTTTTGTATTTACAAAAGCATATGCTACCCATTAAGCCACTTAAGCCAACCTCAACTACCTGTAGACTGGCATCTCAGCTTCTCATGCATGCTGGCCCTGGCTGTTGCCAATAATCCTGAGTTTTAAAATTCTAGGGCTGTGAAATGACTTACAAGAGTGAATATTAAAGAATTGCCTCAATTACACTGAACTCCAACTGCTTCCCTGTTCACTTCTTGGTCCCCTGTTCTTCATTGTGGTGTCCTGTATGGAGGATGGTCCTGTATATGAGATATATGTAGATGTGGCACACAGGGTCATGGTTTAGGGGTGGACTTGGCAGTGCTTGGTTAACAGTTGGACTCAATGACCTCTTGGAGGTCTTTTCCAACCCAAATGATTCTATGATCCTATGAGGCCTTCCTCACTTTGTAAGAAGCATAAGCAAAGTGTTTCCGGTGAGCTTTAGGGTTGCAATGTTGTTCTGGGTGTCGATCCAAAGCCTTGAACAAACTGTCTGAAACA